ACCAAAACCGACATAAAAGAGTTGACAAATTTTAAACCCAAAAAAAAAAAAAAAAAAAAAAAAAAAAAACAGAAATACAAAAACATGACACCTATCGGTTAATATGGTCAATGGACTACAAGGTTAAAATCATATGTGTGTTTGATAAAGAAAATTTTTCTTAATGAAATATTTATGTACTTTTTTACCAAAATAATATTTTACAAAAAAGTATTGTTATCAAAATATCAAAATAATGCTCGATTGGTATCTTACCTGCTTAGTTATAAAACATATTTCATCTCGATATGCAAGAGATCTCTTATATCAACAAATTAGATTAATATAAAAGAGAATATATGATTTATACAAAAATAAAATTGTAAAATATAACAGTTGCGTTAAATAATAAATATTATTTTTGACGCAGCAAATTTCTAATTGAATTGATATGTAAATATCCAGAGTCACTATTTTCGAATATTGAATCTTGTACTTAATGCAAACTATCTAAATACTTTGCGAGAAATGAATAATAAGTAATTAGAAAAAATTAGTTGAAAATAAGTTAAAAAATTTAAATATTTGGATATATAAAATACAGTTGATTTCATTACCGATCTATGCCAAATCAGCATATTGCTGCACGTGCCGCTAGATCCCGACTCACATGCGTTGATGAAAGTAACGAGAAAAGTATGATATCCTCTTTTCAGAGTTAGCTTATGATTAGCGTATTCCGTGTAATGTCTCATTGTTGTCATTTTTTTAATCCAAAAACATGTTTTTTCAAAAATAAAAATTTATGTTTGCATATTATTCAATATAATTTAACTTTTTCGGAAATTATGTTTTTTATTAATATAAATTTTGCGTAAAAGACTGGATAAAATGTAAATTAATTCTACATTATCTAAAATAATAAAGAAAAACTTGATGTAATTTAAAACATAAATAATATATATACTAACGATTTTTATTGCTTGTAGATTTTTTTAGCTAATATCGGTGTTATTTTACAGGCATTTCTATTTTTCGGAGTTGTAGTGGCATCATACGCTGCATCGCTATTCCTGTGTTTGTTTTTCGAAGCACCAGTAGTGTCCTTGTTGAGGATAGTTCATCCCATGAGAGACTGGAAATCACATTAAAAGGGATGGAACTTTGCATATGAGATAAACAAATATTTATGTTTCTGAAGTTGTAAAAAGTGCTTTGCACAATTTATATTCCAGTACTTCAAATATATGTTTTTTACTATAGTATATTTAATATAATAGAGATAGCGTTTGTGTGAAATAAAAAATATTTGCGTGTTTCTGAAGATGTGAGAAATGCTTTGCATGATTTGTATTCCATTATTTCAAGTATAAGCTTTTTATTATAATATTGTAAATATGCAAATTATTTTGATACAATTTAAATTAAATGCAAGGGATGTGTAATTTAATCAATGTGAAAAATCATACTTTTTTTTTGTGATAAAGCATTGTAAACATTTTTTGTTCTTGTCATCGAGTAATTCTAATAATTTACAATTAGTCAAATTATCATTAATCAAAGATTCAGAAACCGTAGAAACCATTTCACAGATTCTATTAATTTCACTTTCTGTTATGCGGAAATACCGTATCATTACATGATTGCTGATTGGTATTCAATAATCGACTAAGATTATTTTAATTTCATTACACGATGACAAGTTAACAAGTTATGTATTTGTAAAACTTACAATCTTTCTTTTAACTTATGCTTTAATGTAAAAATGTATATATTATCAATAAAAGTGAAATCTGAATATAGAAAAATAATATCTTCGTAAATCATTCCGTCTTTTGGAAGAAAGTTTCGAAATATTTACATATTACCTGTCGATATATGAAAAAATTTTAATTCCGCATATAAAAAGTAAAACCGAAAAATTGCGAAAAAATAGCTGTCGCGTATAAAAGATTATACTATCGAGATGTGGTTTACTTTACGTAATAATAATTATGTTAATGGAGCAATACTCTGGTTTGCATAAAACTTACCGTCATTTCTTGCGGAAGAGGCAACGCGCGTTCTACTCATCAACATTTATGAAATCCTTTCTGTCAACGATTATTTTGACGCAGAATCTTCGACAGTGCTTTATCGTCCGCTTATACGACGTTGCGAGCAAGTCATTGTCGAAGAGCTTCGCGTAAGAGACAAATTTTCAGCATGACCGAACAACCAATGATAGTTTGTCGAAGGATTGGTAAGAAAGAGAGAAATAGAGGGAGAGAAAGAGAGAAACGTTTCTCTAATAGTATGAAATTTCATAGTGAAACTTCTTTTAGACTCTGTCGTTAATCTGGCACGAACTCATGCGAAGCGACGCTGTAACTTTTGCAATTCATTACCCGAAACAGCATGGTCCGCGTTACATCCTGCTGCAGGTTGTTTCGCGCATTTGAATATATTAAAAGAAGGAGTTTTTGCTTCTTCATTATTATATCGATACGAAGTTAAAAAAATCGTCGTCGAAAGGAGACATCTTTTCCGTTAAATTTTTTATCTCGCCGATATACAATATGCATCAATCCACTGTCTGGACCGAAGAAAGACGGACATTTTTTTTCTACGCTAAATGATGCTAAATGCGAAACCGGTATTACAGTTATGTAATGTATTTAAACGTGACAGAATAATGATGCGCAATTCTAAGAATATTATTAATGTTTACACTCTCGAATATCATTAATTTATTCCTTTCAGAGCGAAAGTTCTGAGATGGTTGATTTTTAAACGTCTCGTTTAAGATGTGCGAGGAATAAAATATACCGTTCTTGCACAAAAAATTATCCTAGGAAATTGATGTCAACTTCCTCAGAATTTCAACCGATAAGTTCGGATTAAATCCTGTGTACACGAACGTCTCGACTATAAGACTATATGAATTTTAATGCCAGGCTCTTTAACAAATGTTGACTTTTTAACAAAAAATTGTATATTCAAGCAATTTTTATATATAGCAGTAGCTATACTTCGTTAAATTGTTCCAAGAAGAAAAAATTGTAGAATTACTTTAAATTAACTAAAAAAAGGACATCTCTCTCTTTCTCTTTTTCTCTGATTATTAGACATCCGAAACGTGCCCGGACACATGTGCCGTCAATGAATTACAGTTGCCTTGCGCGCAGTCTAAAGGTTGTCAGTTTTCACTCCACAGGAAGACTCGACCCCACCAGTCTCTTCATTATGGTGCCGCGAAACATTCAAGAACCATTGGCCGGACTACAATCTACTCGTACAGTTGATCCGGGATCATTCAACAAGAAAGAAAGGTTCATCTGAGAAGATCCTATCATATCTTTCCCTTTTTTATTTGTTTTTTTTTTTTTTTTTTTTTTTTTTTTTATTAAGAATAGATGCAACAAACCCGACGTATCGACATTACCATGAGCTTAAAAGATCGCATTATCAAAATCTTCTGACAGTTACAGAAATGGAATTTCAAAGATTGACATAATTTCGGTAAATCGCGGATCGACGTGATCAATCAAGGTCCAATATTATCCAAGTGCGAAAAGAAGTGAGGCAAATTCTGTGACAATCCTCCGTGACAATGTCACGAGCATCCTGACAGAGGATCGATATTTTATTTGCTCGTAGACTTTTCAGGTATTCGGTGACACACCGTTCGTCTGTTTAGAAGAGGATTTTTTCTCGACGATCGATTACAAAGAGCCTGCTGTCTGAATCGACGACGATGCTGAAGATTCGCGATTAGTGTTTCCGCGCGAATTTTCTTCCAAACCGCGCCTCGTCGATCTTTCTTGTGAACATTTATGAGATAAACATAAGATTAGAATTACGATGCGTTTGCTAATTGTCACTTTGCTTATATCGCTATCCGCGATCTATGCCGAAGAGATATCTACCGGTGTACCAAATGATAATGCAGAGGAATCGATTCTCCGAGTAAGAAGCTTGCCACCAACAACTAGTGTGGTCGAAAAAAACTGGACCAGCCTGTCGGACACGCTGGACGTTTTCAGTGCGCGTAATTTAGTAAGAAATTGGGCCGAAGGAAAATACGCTGTCGGGGTGCAATGCAGCAAAGATATTACAACGTACGTCGAAGCTTTGAAGAACGAAGAATTATGGGCTCTTAAAGGTAAGATTAAGATTTGCTATTCATTACGTTATTCAATTGTGTATTTTAATTCAAACTCGAAATTCTAAATTAAATGAAACCAAAATTTTAAATTTTGTACAAAACTCTATTAGTCTCCTCTATTTATAAATTAAAAAATATATTTTGTTTGTTAATAAATCATTAAATTAAAAATACGAAATTTCAAAAACAAATAATAAATTAGAATATATCTAAAAGTTATCAGTTAGATATTTAAAAAAATATTAATATCATGTAAGTAAATTATAAATTATTTCTATAATATTTTGGTGAGATAGTAATTTCTTTTTTTTCGCATATAATTTTAATATGTTAAAAACTTTTCCATGAACCTAATATAATAATTTATGCGATTCTATCTATAACTGTTAGAGTCTTTATTATGAAAGACAAGTGAAACTGTTATTTATATAGTAGCAGGTCAATTGTCATTGCTCATGTTTCTCTTTTTCTTCTTATACCTGTATTATGAAATTATTACACACATTGTAAATAAGCAAAAATTATTATGTCAATAGAAAGTTTAGCCACAACAACCGCGACATTAGCAGCAGCAGTAATGTATAGATCGTAATTGTTTTTAAAACTTCTTATTAAATTTTTAAGAGCACTTATGAGACAAAATTTTTATCGGTTGATTTAGAGCAGCCTATTTCGCAAATTTCGGAAATAATAATATCGCTTATTAATACATTCCCCTAATCATCTTAATCATATTTTCTAAAAAAATAATTTTTCTTCTTTGTGATTAATAATTAATATAAATTTATTATATTACAACTTTATCGAACTGTTAACTTTGCTAGGCTATCTCAATATATGCCAAAATTATAATATATAATACATTATGTATCTATTAATTTAAACTAATTTATAACATCAAAATTTCGATGTTCCGAACGAAACAGTCTCGACAGTTTGCCTGCTAATAGAATACGATCATAGCTAATGAGCGTCTCGAAGGAAGAGACATTGATTATATTGAATTATATACTTTCTAGGTCTCTGTTTATGTAATAGGCTTCATTTTAGAGATTGTTCGAAGTCATTTAATTTAAAGTCTTTCGCGTATTCAATCATATTGTCGTATAATAACTTTATGCAATTTCTGCTTTATCTTCTTGGGTCTCATTAAGAATATAAATATACGGAAGAGAAACAATGAGCTCAGCGCAAGAACCTTCGTGGTTATTTTTATTATCTTTTTTATTATAATCTTTTTATCATAATGTGTGAAGCTACTATATACAGAAGAAAAACCTTCCGTACAAGGCAAGCAAACCTGTTTCACCTGTTTTATGAAGGAAATTCTCGTTTCACTGCAACAACTAGGATTTCCTCTGTACTTGAAACAAATTGTTTAACCTGTGCAAAAAGTGATTTTACTGTGCATTTAATTTCTTATTCCAATAAAAAACATTAGAAAACAAAATAATAATTATACATCATCAATATTTTTTTTTTTTTTTCCACGAAGATTCTTGTACTATATTCTATGTTTTTGTTCTATATTTTTATTAGTAATGACCAAGAGTAGCATAAAGATAAAGCAGAGATCGTAAAGTAATTGTACAGCAATGCGATTACAAATATCTTTATTTTTATTCGTAATGGCCAAGAGAAGCATAAAGATAAAGCAGAGATTGCAAAGTCATTGTACGGCAACGCGATTACGATTATCTGTATTTTTATTCGTAATGACTAAGAGAAGCATAAAGATAAAGCAGAAATTGCAAAGTCAACACGTTGTACGGCAACACGATTACGATTAAAAATGCAAAACATTTGCAATTAAAGAACTTGTACTTTTGATTAAATAATATAAAACGAGGTTTACCATAGTTTAAGTAAGTTATATAAACAGATCTAAAAATTGTAATTTAATATAATTGAAATAATTTCTCTCTCGAGACATCGATTATATAATTATTATGTTTCTCTTTTTTATATCGTTATAAATATCTCTTATGACACATCTACAATATTCCTTTATATAATCAATAACGTTACATAGGTATAAAGATTTGTTTCTTGATCTGATTATACATCCTATTCTGCATTTTATACGGAACATTTTTATACGCTCTACGTATGCATGTTACTTCCTATGTATTGCAAACTTTCTCCCTCATGCAGCTTTCTAAATTACATTGCATCGCAAGATAATCATGCTAAATCATTTGAGTGAGATGCAAGTTATTCGAATGATCTCTTTCAATTGCATCACGATCGCAGAAACGAAATGCATCCGTAAGGATATGCCGTCAGTGTCTCGGAATTGTTGTCTGTCGTTATTTTAATGATAGATTGAGTCGAGACTTGATCTCTTGAGATCAAGCTACAATCAATATTTTTTCTAATAAGATCAAATCAACGAGATATCATTAATTGTCAAGTGGACTTTAATTTTGCGTATTTCTAGTTGGAGATTTAATTAAAAACGCAATACTTAAAATGTTGCATATCAATTAAAGTCGTCAAGTGACAACTTCTACTTCGTAACTTTCCTCGAGTAAATATCGATTTTGAATTTGTCAAAAACGTTAACGTTTTTAAGATTAACGACGATTCGAAGATATTCTGTTGATGTCATCCGGTTCACACTTCGGTCGAAGAAAAAAAGGAGACGCGTTAATGAACCGGTCGGGAATATTCTTACAAACAATTGCTTTTCGGTCTCCTCTTCCGTTACCTCTTCCTAATTTGTCTACTTTCGTGGTTTCACGAGGTTTCACTTTTTTACAAGGCAAAGAGCATCAAACGTGCCGGCTTCACGAGAAACGTGGCGCCGGTTAACGAGTCGCGCCCTCGTTTCACTTTTCTCGGTCAATACCACTTCTCACATATTCGTTAAACGCGCGCCGAGCGTATGCAACATGCAATCGTTTCTTTACAAGAAAATGTCTTTTCTTCTGTTTTATTTTAAAAAAAAATATATAATTTCTATCGGAGAGAAAGCGAGAAATATATTTGATAAATATACATAATTAATTCACTTCATCAATTTTTTCACCACTTGTTAGATATGTGTAGGAAGAGGGGACGTGTGTGTGTTTTAAGTAATTTCCCACTAAAATCAAGTGGGGGACGATATTGGTTTAGAAGATATAACAAATTAAAATTTAAAAATAAAATAAAAGAGGCTCGAATGATAAATATCAATAAAAGGAGAAAAAACGGCCAGTCGGAGCCCAGACGCACTAATTATAGTGTAATAATAAAAAATTATCAATTAGAAATTGGTAATAAAGTTTGTGTACGCTTGTGTAATAATTTGTTATTTTTTGACTGAAAAAGTTTGTTCACGACTTTCACGCGTATCATAAGAGAAATGTTTTTTATCTTTTTCAAACATAAACAATTTTATTATTTTAGACCGCATTAAAAAATTTCACGACTTTACGAGTTCTGTTTTTGCTTGAAAGCCTAACGTAACTAAAAACCAACTTCAAAATATGATCCGGTTGCATACCGTGTTTCTCGTAATACGCGAAAAAAAGATACAAACTGTGTGTGTTAATTCTTATATAAATTATTTTCCTCTCAAAATACCATATCGTTCAAAAATACTCGATATCGTAGTAAAAGAGAAATAGTTTATATATAATTAAGAGTTACATATATATTTACGATATCACAATATCTGTATATAAATCGCGATATATATGCTAGAATATTTTTATATACATTCGTACATTTCTCCATATTATGAAGTTTATTTCATTTCTTTTCTCGAAATTACTCAGACAACCTCAAACCACGAACAAATATTCTTTCTTTTTCTCCGAATTTCTTGTTCCGGAAGAAACTTGAGAAGGGACCTAAAACTTTTACCTGGCGTCTGAAGGCGTTCAGGTAAAAGTTTTAAGTGGGCCAGGGTTCACCTTCTCTCTATCTCTCTTTCTCTCTCTCACTCTCTCTTCTTTCTCTCTCTCTCTCTCTCTCTCTCTCTCTCTCTCTCTCTCACTCTCTCTTTCATTTTCAGAGATCGGAAATTTAGGAAAAGTCATCGAAAAAATATTGATGCAATTTATCGAGGGAAAATATTCGTGAGCCGATTTTTCGCGCCGATTTTTACGGCCGAGTTTCGTTGTTTTCGATTCGTTCCTCTCGTCAAATGATCATTACACACGTGAAGCAGGGTCCTAATCGCAAAGAAAACAAACTTAATCGGCCGCTTTCACTCTTCGTGAGCCCGCGATATGCATCATCGTCGCGGTATTCATTCCTGAATCTCACGAACTTTATACCCAAGCAAAGGTGAAAGATGCATCTGTGCTCGAAAAGAATTATCATTAGAGAGGACATTATGACACTTTAAAAAGAATCGTTTATCTCGAACATGACGCCGCTCTTTCGACTTTCGGAGGCGCTTATTTTCTCACGCGTTGTATATTCCACTGTCTTCACAAATAGAAAATATCACTTCCTGGTTTCTACCGTTACAAATTGCTTGGAAGAAAATTGCTGAATTATTATGCTGAATATAAAATTGCTCAATTATAATATATGCATAAAATGAGATGCATGCAAAAGCGTAAAAATCATGTCTAATTTACTTAAAGAGATAGAAAACTTTTGTAGAGAGAAGTGTGCTCTTTTTTGTGTATATTTAATTCAGCGATTTTTATTATAATTTTTTATTTCCTAGAGCTATAAAGATAAAAATTCAATTATTATTTCTTATTTCACGTTAAAAGAATTTAAGCATTATATTTTCCCTAAAATGTATGACTCATTATCGTAAACTTGCACTATTTTATTTCGCTCTACGATGTAACAGAAATTATAATTATTCATGTTTCATCAATACGATTATTTAATTATAAAATTAAGAGGCAACTTGTAATATAGCGGGAAGAAAGTTATATAATTTCTTGATCGTTCCATATTTCATTACCCTTGGAAAGTGCTGATCGGAGGATAAAGTATTCTGCGATCCTTATCCAAAAGTTACATAAATAAATCTCTCCGAGAGA